GGGCGTCCCCTACGTCTCCTCCCAGGAGGAACCCAATCTAGTACCTTCTTGGGCAACCTATCATCTGCCATTCGTTGAACATGACCATACCAGACAAGCTGCTTGGTCATAATTTCATGCACGATGTTCTGCTCGGCGTTCTGTCACCTACATTCCTCGTACATACGCGAGATAAAAACCTCCATGCTTTCGCGGAGTCTTTGCAACTTCTTAATCTCTTTCTTGAGATCTGCTTCATATTTTTCTTTTTGATTGCCGTTCGTCGCATTGTGCACTTTTTGTCAGATGTCTTCAAAAGTTTCAACTCCTTCTGTAACCTTTTCCAGACACTTATCGACTTCACCTTGCAGCTTCCTTGTTGCAGCCATGGCTAAGTATAGAAGTAATTAAATTTCTCGAGCATAGTCCTTGTATGATTCCACCGTTAGAATTCGTACCAATTTCAAACACAAAAGAAATTCGTCGCTGTCGCTTTTCCAAAATGCATCTTCCTAGCGAACTCCTCAGAAATGAATTGCCGAAGAGGGTCAGTTGGGCTGTAAAAATGCATAACATTGTAATTTGTAAGTTATTCAAAAGTCTGTGTACCTATACAATTTCGAGCTGGAAATTATACCAATATATACATCGAATAAAATAACGTCAAAAGCAAAGTTCCCCGTAGATCCACAGATTTTTCTTCAAAAAACATAAACTCATCTATTTAATTTATAAACATAACTTATAAAAAGGCGAAAGTGAAAGGGGCATAACTGCATTTTAAAGGTTCAACGTTTCACCTTAAAACCTATGGATTAATTGCCAAACGGAAATAAAACTGAGATGAAAAACATTAGAATATTATCTTTAAATATAAATAAATGAATAAAAACAACAAAAACAAACCAAATTTTCTTGATTAAATGAATAGATCGTATGATAAAACATTGATACGTTGCAGGCCCGCGTTAAGCAGAAAGTAACCGATCCACATCAGCTATAATTGCCAAATTTAATCGAGCAATTTAATTTTTTACATGAGAACAATTATGTGAATTTTTGTGGAAGAAAAAAAATTCCGTGACTTGATACAATTCTCGCCAAAATGCCAGTTTTAGACACACGCCCTTAGGGGTGCTTGAGAGACCCTTAGCCGTTTTTTGTTTTCAAAATGATCATTGATTTGGTTACGCCAGAGTATAATTTGAACAAAACTCAACCTTAACTTTTCTCAAATTCAAAAATTAAGAGACACCTCAACACGCGCCGATGGCAACGCAGAGATACAACTATTCGTGTCTAATGAATATTCTTGTTGCATCTGCAAAATTGAAGGAGTGATAGCGCGGGGTACGAGCTCTCAATGCTCCACGCTATATTAGTGCGAATAAGGTGTCACTCAGATTCGGAAAAAAATTAGAAAACGAGGCCCAGTTACGTCTCTCCTATCTACGGGTGTGATGATACTCAATTTCTTTCTTGTTTTTAAGCGTGCCATTAGGGCTCGCTTTTTGAAATCACTCGGATGTACCATAGTACAGCACACCGATCAACCAATGCTATTCAACGGGCCGTTCAAATATTTTTTTCCTCGGACCCGTTTTCTTGTCTTTGAACCATTATACTGTCAAGCCCTGATGGTCTCTCACCAAAAAACCGAATGAACTGCTAATTGGGAACCCTTGAGAACATTTTCCTGTCAAAACCGTATTATTTCATTTGACAAAAACCTCATAGAAGCTTTCTTACGCACGGAGGACTCAACTCTAGAACCTTCTTTCCCGCCAAAACTGTTTAGCCAATGGGCGTCTTGCACTGCAAGTGCAATCTGTGAAGAGCCTCGTGACTCTTTATACCATGTACTAACCGTGGCCCCTGCAGAAATCCACTCAAACCACTGCAGTTATCTCCCGATATAGCTTTGGGTGTCAGGTTTCGAGCAAGGAAATAAAAGACGGCGAGGAGAGGGTCGCCTCGTCGAACTTATTATCTTCCACGCCCGATTAACCATTCACCGTGACGCCAGGATCCACCAAATTTTCACAAAAATTGTTTTCCGTCTATTTAGCGAGTTTTTCCTTACTTTCCGTTAAAGTACAAATAAAAAGAGACCTCATTTGTAAAAATCGGCCGAATAGGAGAGAAGTTACAGTTCGAAATCCAAAGAGATTAACTCAACGCGATTTCGATGCACGGCAGTTCGCCCAAATCACGGTCGTGCGAAATGCCGCATATCAGCTTAAAATCAAGATAATTGGACGGAATCTTTAAAATCAATTTACATTCAACGTTCATGAATCAATATTTTCTCCCAAATTTAGCAAAAAGTACCAATTGATGCAAATAACAAAGACGTGAAAATAGTAGGTATGTGTCCAACATTTTAGTTATTCGGCACGCTTTTCCAACATATTCATGTTGGATTTTTCTGCTTGTTTTTTTTTAAAACTTATAAACTAATCTGTGATATTGTCGACAATTATGACTAATGAGGTATGAATACTCACGTAGCATTTAGTTTCGGAATACCATACTTCGTTTTGCCCACTCTCTGTTCATACACAAAAAAAGCGTATCTATTGTAATCTGTGGAATTGAGAAACATGAAACATTGATATGGGCGTTAAAATGATACCCCGCACTGAAAAAAAAGAATCTTTTTGCCGCCAAGAAGTATTTCTTCTTAAATCAATAATTTTTCTGGTAGATATAAGCTACTTTTTTGCGTAACCCAATCATTATTTTTCTTGTATCAAGAAAAAGTCAGCTTAAAGCAAGATAAAAAAAAATCTTGGCTGCAAATTCAAGAACCATTATGCTTGATCCAAGCTACCTTTTTTTTCAGTGCGAAGCTTGAAGAGGCAGGTATGGAACCGTAACCCATACCTTTGTCTCTGATAAGAAAGATAATATTTTCTTTAACCTTTCTAATTTTCTCCATTTTTAATTTTTTTTTTTTTTCTAATATATGAACTTAACTTGAGATCCTCGTAGGGAGAGACGAAAGAGAGGCGCAGTGAAAGAGTGACAACATGCAGGGGGTTTTGAATGAAATACGGGAATGCCAGCTCCCGGAGGGGCTGTCGAGACATGGTGCTGTGGCGGTTAAGGGTCAAAAAGCGACCGAGAGCGCTGTGAAAGCAGCTCTTATGTGTGTACATGGACATATGTTTTAAATCATCGACCATGTGATGTTGCTTTCGTTTGAAATTTTTTTGTGAATTTCTATCTTAAAATCCTATTTTGTGTATTTATTAATATTGTGTGTTTTATTTACTTGAAATTTTTCTCCACTTTTCACTGCTCTGAGCAAGTTACTTTTTATTGTTTTTTTTTATTTTTCATTTTTATTTTTCATTTTTATTTTTTATTTTTTTTTAATGGACGAAAGTAGATTTTATTCGAAATTTCTGTGACGTACGTTCAATTGGATTTAAGGCAGCAGGTTTTCTTTCACCGCGGTTCTCCATGAATTTTTACGGCACCACATTAGAATTTAGAACAAACCGTAGTTTTTCAGCTGAAAATAGCACGATCACCTCCCTGTAGTCATGATTGATTAAGATCAGATACCCATATTATTATAAGATCATTTTCGTGTGTAACCTCTTCACGAGGACTCGCACACAGTGATAATATTTCTAATTTCATCAAGCTCCTCCAAATTTTTTCCAAATTTTCTTGTACAGTTTTGTTGATAGGCAAAACGTTACTACGGATCTGGGTATTTCATGGGAAATTTTAAAACCACCTGGTGAGACACAAAAAATAAAAAAAAATAAAAAAAAATGTTGAAAATGTCTGCTTAGTTTTTTCTAAAATTTTCCACCTGCCGAACGAAATCAAATTTTGATTGAAAATTTATGGTGATTTTTACCCAGTCTCAAGTATTAGGTTTTCTAACTTGTTCTTCACTCATTTAATTTTCAAGTGTGTAGTTTGTGCTGATTACCTCTCCCTTCCGGCGGAGTGGGCCCTATGTAGTCTGCCATTGTCTCTCCGTGCAAAATAGCCCTGCCACCAGCAACGTGCTTTCCTGGAATATTAACTACTAACCAGTGCATGAATTCTTTCCTTATTCGTAACCCATTGACAAGTGTGTCGGGACCTACGGGAAAAATACGACAGACAAACCAAACGATTGGTAAGTTGCGAATTTAATCGCGCACTGCAAATTATAATTAATGATTTCATCGACAAGATCGGTTAAAAAATTAGTAGTTTATCAGACCATGCTTATTATACATTGCAGTTTTAAAATTCATTTATTTTTTCAAGGCAGTATTGAAATTCATACTTCTTCTTACATATTCTCAAAGTTTCAGAGGGAATTAGGCTATGCAGGACACATGTTCTCTCAATGTGGCTCGGCGAGTATGTTTTGCTAGAGAAGCGATGGTTTTGTGGGGCTGGCGCATACGAGCTTTAGTTGTAAGTCAACGAACACATCGTACAAAAGAAAACATCCAATTGAAAAAAGAAGAAATAAAAAAGGTCAAAAATTTTTTTGACAATTATCTATAAGAATATCAAGCCGGGTCAATAGACCCAACTATCCAGTGATTCAAAGGCTGCGTAAGCAACACAGCTATAGGAGGGACTTAATTTGACTTCGTTGCGACACCTCATTGGTGGCGTATAGCATGTTCACGCATCGAGCCGTAGCGCCTTCAATTTTGCAAACGCAACACAGACATCCACCGAGCACGAATAGTTGTATCTCTGCGCCGTTATCAAAACGCGTAGAAGTTTCTTTTATTTTTGCTGAGTTAAGCTCGAGTTCCCTCAAATTATACTCTGATGCGTCCAAATCGATAATCATTTTCAAAAGAAGAAAAAAAAAAATTGGACGTCTCTTGAGCGCCTTCAAAGCCGTTCGTCTGAGATTCGGTATTTTGACAAGAGTTGTGTCGTGTCAGGGAAAGTTATTTGACGAATATCCCTAGAAATCCTAAGTCGGGGCAAACTAACGCGGCTTTCTCCTCAGGGGGAGTTACAAATGGTGGATAAGGAGCGATGGTGGAAATCGCCCATATGTAACCCAAAAGGTGAAAATTTAAAAAAAAAAAAGCTTACCCTCGAAAACATAGAAATGAAAGCGTAAATTTTGAAAGAATGCAAGAGATGAACAATATTTTTTGGCTTTTTTTATAATTTCTTTGCAGCTAGTGAGACGAAAAATTCAAGAGTCTTACGATAAAGTGAAGTACAAACCTGTTCCTAAAATGGCGTAATACGAATCATTCTTGAAAGGCCATTTCACAAGCCACGGAGGATAAAGAACATCCCGCCCGCTTAAATCATTACCAATATCCGCAACAAAACCATCTATGAACTCCATCTAATAAAATCAAACTCCACGCGTAGTGTTAAATTAATAAGTCCAGTTGTTAATCGTTAATTCTCAAAATAAAAAGAGCTTAAGCGCACGCATCTATGGATTGTGATTAATAATTCGGTTCGTTTAGTTGGTGCGAATTAATAAGGTCATTTTGCAGAACTGTAAGAAGGCACGGTTTTACCCCATTAATATATTGCATTATTTGCAGGGTAATAACAATAATGCCTCACCGTATTTTTAGAACTGATACCTTTCAAAACAAAACTGTGGTTTAAACGTCCAATCCCATAGCAATTCCTATATCCTTGACGGAACCAGATATGCTTTATAAAGAATGATGCGACGAAATGCGCGCACTAGTCTTAAAGCACACGTTGATCGATTATACGATCAGCCAAGGTGACGTTATTTTATTCTCACTGTGAGTGAACAATTTTTCATAGAGAAATATACTTCTCTCCTGAAATTAAGCTGTGCAACATCAGGAACGTCCGATCAGAGAGCAACTGTGAACAATTTTTACCCAATTAGATCGAGAAGGAGGATTGTTAAATATCTCTATTGAGAGCCTAAAGTTAAAATGATGTTCTGCCTCTGGGGTAACATGTTCAGTGAGTAGGCAAGGGATCCGGACTCTCTGACACTCCCCCCCCCCCCCCCCCCCCCCC